CAAGGGGACACTTAATGGCTTAAAATCAGGAAGGCGTCACCAGGGTTGCATCCTTTCACCATACTTATTCAATCTCTATGCTGAGCAAATAATCCAAGGAACTGGATTATTGGAAAAGATTCACTAACAACCTTCAAAATGTAGATGATACAACCTTGTTTGATAGAAGCAAAGGACTAGGAATACTTGACAATAATAAAAATCAAATACTAGAGTCTTCCATATGGATTATACCTCAATGTAAAGAAAATGAATATCTTAGCAACTGACCAATAAATAGAATCCATATAATAGAGAAAAGACTGAAGGTGTTTAAGTCTTCATTTTGCCTGGATCCACAATCAACACTCATGGAAGCAGCAGTCAAGAAATCAAATGCTGTACTGTGTTAGATAAGCTTACTGCATAAGACCTCTTCAAAGTGTTCATTTACAATGCAAATATATTAGTTTGCAGACTAAGGTATATGATCCAAGCCATAGTATTGTCAATTACCTACATGCATGTAAAAATTGAACAGTGAATAAGAAAGACCTTAGAAAAATCGATGTATGTGAATTCTGTCATTGGTGAAGAATACTGAAAGCTTGATGGACTGTCAGAAGAACAAACAAATCTGTCTCAAAACAAGTGTGTTCTATAGAAGCAAGGATGGCATGACTTTATATCTTGTACTTCAGAGATGTTCTCAGGAGGGACCAGTCCTTGGAGAAGGACATCATGCTTGGAAAAGTGGAGGGTCAGTGAAAAAGAGGAAGACATTCAACAAGAGGGATTGACACAGTGGCACCAATGAGCTCAGGCATAATGACACCTGTGAGGATGGTGCAGGACCAGATAGTGTATCCTTCTAGTGTTTTCAGGGTTGCTGTAAGTCAGAACCAACTCCACAGCACCTAACATCAACGACACAATACATAGGCACTTCTGGGTACATAAACAAGAACCAGAATTTGCTCCGTTCCTATAAGCATACAATTTAGTGACACAGATGAAACTGTAAAAAATGAACTATAATGTAGATTGTCATTGTTAAGCACTGCTGAGTCAGTTCTGACTCATAGTGACCCGGTGTAAGGTTTCTGAGGAGAAGTTTGTAGGTTTGAACTGTCGACCTTGGGGTTCAGTGCACTACCCTGCAACATCACACCAGGATGCCATAACGTAGATAGAAATGTGATAAATTCTGTAATAGAAGTAAAAACAAATGGCTCACAGCACAAGGTTATGGTTGTTATCCTCTTTTTTTAAGGGATCAGTAATTCCCTTTGGTGGCAATGGCAATAGTGATGGTGAGAGAATAAGCATAGGATTGAAGAGACCCTCCACCCAAGACCACAAAGACTCTTTGCAAATTATGATTCAAGGACCTCATCAGCCCAAAGACCTCTCTTTAGATTTTATTGTTGTTAAGTGCCATCAAGTCATTTCCAACTCACTGGGTATAAATGACTGTTCCTGTGTAGACAGACAGAGGTCATTAGATTCTCTGTGAGCTACCTTAGGCAGAAGGTATATTTTGCTTGTCCTGCCTTTGAGAATCAATCATGAATTTTTAACTACCTGTCTCTAAGCAAATGGTATTTTAGAATTGTATCATACTAATTTAGACCCAAATTTTCTATTTAAAAATGCATTAGAAAGTCCTCTTTAAAGAGGTAGAAAATATGGAACGAAACTCAGAATTATATTTTTTAAGAAAAAAGACAGGGTTTACAGGTGTGAAAGAGACTGGAGGAACCTGAAATGGCAGCCCTCAACCAGCCTTCAGCTCTGCAATGGAACTTAAATTCATGACTCAATTTTTAGCATAGTGGTTACGAATCGGGCTGCGAACCTCAAGGTCAGCAGTTCGAAACTACCAGCTGTTCCGTGGGAGAAAGATGAGGTGTTCTGTTCCTGTAAAGATTTACAGCCTCGGAAACTCTGTATAGGGTCACTATGAATTGGAACCAAGTCCATGGCACATAACAACAACAACAACATAGAAGTATACAGGGTGGGCAATCATTCAAAACCAAAAGGGTGACATTTACATAGCGACACAGTTCAGAAGGGATGGGAAGGAGGGTGGAGTGGAGACCGGAAGCACAGGGAGGAGGCGGGATGACTGTTGTTGCCTGGAGGGGATTGTAATCATTGAGATGAAACCAAGTGGGTGATTTATTGACTGTGAAACTGATGATCATGGCTGTAAACCTTCACTCAATTCACAATAAATCGTTTTTTAAAAAGCAAAACATTTCAGTCATGGAGAGAAAAAAAGTAAAAACATAGGTCTTTTGATGTGTTTTGATCATATGGTCTACTTAAGATACAGCAGCAAGTTGAACAGGAGCTCTGGTAGTGTAGTGGTTATGAGTTGGGCTGCTAACCTCAAGGTCAGCAGTTCAAAACTACCAGCTGTTCCATTGGAAAAAGATGAGGTTTTCTATTCCCATAAAGATTTACAGCCATGGAAACCCTATGCAGGGTCGCTCTAAGTTGGAACCGACTCCACGGTGAATAACCACAACTACCACCAGCAAGTTTAACAGTCACACTGAGCTAATGGGTAGATGGTATTGTGAAACAGAGTTGATAACGGCAGCTAAACGGAGCAAATACAATATAACTTCAGGTTCCTAGACCTCCATTCTCTGCATAGCATGACGATGGGGTGAGCAAAGTTCTCCAGAGATGAATTCCTCAAATCCTCAAAAGAAGCCCGATTGGCACAACTTCTAACTCAAACGTGGGAAACTGGGATAAACTAGTCTCTCCTCCAAGGGACAAAGATGTGGCAGTGTGCTTCCATAAATGTTTCTAGCCTTGGAAACACCATGAGGTAGTTCTACTGTGTCATTCAGGGGGACTAGGGGTCAGAATTGATTTGGTGGCAACAGCGTCTCCATCTCTTCCCTCTTCCTCCTTCCCCCGCCTTCTCTCTCCTTACTACCAACCCCCTGTCTGCCTCATGAACTATATCTAGGTGGACATGGAACAATGACTCAAAATCAACCATCTCATTATTTAAGAAATATAAAAATAATCAATTTAAATCTGGGATAAAATTAATGTTCTTGAATTACTGGCATACCAGAATTAGCAATCGTATATTCACTCTTAGTAAAGAATCAACTGACCTTAAATATGGTACCATATTGAATGAGGAAAAAACACAGGTAATTTGTAAGAGAACTCTACAGACTTGTGGGAATTCTGAAAATTGTCCCTCAAGGTTTAGATTCTTTCATACTTATTAGTATCTACACCTGATTGTAAAATGATGTGACTAGTTAAAGTTAAATTAATTGAACTTAAACAAAATTAATTTTTTTTTTTTCTCTTCAGTCACATTTGAATGCCCAACAAGGCTGCTGTTGTTGTGTGCCACTGAGTCAGTTCTGATCCAAAATGATCCAGGGTAGAAGCTGGTGGGGTTGAACTGCTGACCTTTCTGTTAGCAATCCAGTGCTTACCCTACAACCTCACACCTGGACTGCTTACACATGGATGTTGTTGTTGGTTCTGACTCATAGCGATCTTGCATAGAGTTTCGAGGAATAGCTGTGGGTTTGAACCACTAACATCGCAGCTAGAATTCAATTGTTTATTCTATAGTGCCACCCCAGGACACCAATACATGGTCAATGCCTATAATATCATTCAGCAAAGATAAAAACCACTTCCATTTTCGTTCATAGAAATTTCTACCACGTAGCAGAGATATTAACATTTTAAATCTTAATTTTTCACCTTGATGTTTCTAAATATTTGATCATTTAAGAATGAAAACAAGTATTATTTTGCTTCAGAAAGTATTTTCATAAAGTGATGTTATTGTTAAGTCTGTGGAGTCAGTTCTGACTCATAGTGACCATGTATATATAGGGTTTATGAGAAGTGGCTGGTGAGATTGAGCCACTGTCTTTGTGGTTCAAACCAACCTTGCGGTCTGGTGCTTACCCTACAGTGACACACCAGGACTGCCATTAAGTGATAACATTCATTTGTTTCAGGTGATTCTGAACACTATTTTATTTATTCTTTTCTGGTCTACCAGTTTCTCTTTGGAATGTCATTGTAGAGTTCTTCAGCTCTTTGTTGCTCATGTGGCCCTTTTTATAGTCTTGAAAATCACAGCCTTCCCTCTGATCTCTGTCTCAGTTTCTCCTCTCTTCAGCAGCACTGTATTTCCTTGCTTATGTCTAGCTCTTCCATTAGGCTGTAAACTCCATAAAGGCATGGGTTGTTTCTTATTTGCCACTGAATCACCAGTGTTTACAATACCTGGAATATAAGCATTAACTTATAAATTGGTCGAAGCGTGATTGTCTCAGTGAAATATTTATAATATAACTTACCAAATTACTGAAGCCAACTACAGTCAGGGCTTGTTTCAAAACAGCTAATTTCTCTCTGTTCAGAGAGTGCTCTGCTGTTGATATATCTTCCTGGATGGTCTGGTCCAAATACCTGTTCAGGAGAAAACACACAGACTATTATGAATTGGTTTATAATAAAATTCAAGTGGGTAAAAGTCACCTCAATCATATTGAGTCTCCAGAATAGAGGAAATCACCTGAACATTGTGTACCCTTGTGCTTACAAGGTTTCTGGTACCCAAGAGCACATGATGTTTCAGGAAACAAAACACAAAGATCTTGCTGTACCAGAATATATTTATACTATTTAACTTGGGTCTTACCCTAGCTGCACCTGTCCTAGTGAAAGGACAAGGTCACAAGTGTTCTATAAATTCCGCATAAAAAGTTGGCTGTTCCTATGTCTTTGTGATTTAAATTTGCATTAAAGATACATATTTAGAGACATGTTTCATTCCCTCCTGTGATTGTCTTTAAGTATAGGCTGTTGTTGTCATTGTTAAGTGTTGTTGAGTCAGTTCCTACTCACAGTGACCCTGTATAGGTTTTCCAAGGAGCAGATGGTGGGTTTGAACCACTGACCTTTCAGTTAGCAGTCCAATGCTGATGCTATAGCACCATACCAGGACCCCTTAAGTAAAGGTAGTTCCTTAATTTATGGATTTATTCCTTTCTTTCATCAAACAAATATTAATCACTTACCAAATACAGGCAATAAGAGGTAACTGAATATATGAAGATAAAGGGCCCATCCCCAGAACCTAAGCAAACAAAACCCAGCAATGTACCCAGGGAAAGACAGAGAAGAGAGCATAATATGGTATAGAAGAAGGGGACCATAGAGAAGTGCAAGGTACTATGCAAATGTGCACTTTCCTGAGTGGTGACAACAGCCATGCTCAAGAACTAACCTGACCCCTGGCAGTTCAGAGTCACCCAGCGTTGCTACAAAGGGAAGGTCTGGTGATACGACTCTGTCAACATTGCTGTCCGTGCCTTTTGTTGATTCTAACGTCCACTGTGCCCATACAATTTTCTTGGTTGTCATCTTCAATGAAGCAGATGGTCAGGAGTCACTGAGTGGGTTCGAACCACCAGCGTTTGAGTTAGCAGCTGAGCACTTAATCCCTGGGACTCTTCATATAAACATGAGAGCCAAGAAAGCCTCACAGAGTAGACTCACGGAATCGCTGTGAGTCAGGCTGAGTCAGAATTGTCTTGATGGCAACGCGTCAGGTTTGTGTTTTTTTGCTGGTGTGGTGGCACAGTAGATTAAGCATGGACTGTTAACAGCAGGGTTGGTAGTTCAAACCCACAAGTTGCTCTTTGGAAGTAAGATGACATTGTCTGTTCCTCTAAAGATTTACAATCTCAGAAGCCCTAAGAAGTACGTCCGCTCTGTCCTATAGAGTCGCTATGAGTTGAAATCAACTTGATGGTAATTGGATGGCAGTATGCTTTGTATGTGTTTATGTTGTTTGTTGTTAACTCCAGTCAAGTCAGTTCTGACTCATAGAGACTTGCTGGTGGGTTTTCAGCCAACCTTGTGGTTTACAGTACAGTGCCACATCAGGACTCCTATAGGTGCATATATGCTGGTTAATTTTCTGTGTCACTTTTTTCCCTATAATTTTGAGTAAATACAGATGTTTGCAAGGCAGACAATTGTCAGAAAAGGAAAACTCAAATAGTTTCCACTGATAGAAAGCAACAGGGGCTCTGTTAGCATAATGGTTACTAGTCAGGCTGCTAACCTCAAAGTTAGCAGTTTGAAAATACCAGCTGCTTGCAGGAGAAAGATGAGGTTTTCTGTGCCCATAAAGATTAAGAGCATCACGACCTTATGTGTTCAGAACAGACTCAACAGCACACCACCACCACCAGTACCAATAGAGAGCAACAGAAAAGGCAAAAAGCTCTGGCAGTTGCATTGTGTGCCAGCTCTCACCAGTTTCAGTGTACCAGGCAGTGGAATGTAATGGAAACTCTCTCCACAGTCTAATCTAATGGAACCAATCAATCAACCAGTTGATAAAGGAGTTTCCTAACGGTGTATTCTGTCTTTGTACTGTAAGTAGATATTTTGGCAAAACTCCCTCTCTTCACTCTGCAGTCTTCTAGTCACCTGACATCTAGATCTTGGGATACAGTCTGCAGAAATGTGTTGCCTGCTGCCTGGCCTATGAATCTTGGAATTTCAAGGCCTCAAAAACCCTACACAATTGTGTGCTTAAAGTAAATTTCTCTCTTTCTATGTGTATATACACATGGAAAAACTCCTGATGTGGCATTGTGGGTTGGCAGTCCAAAACCACCATCTGCTTCTCAGAAACCCTATATAGTACTACAGCACTTAACAACAATACACACACACACACACACACACAAGGAGCTCTGGTAGCGTAGTGGTTATGAGTTGAGCTACTAACTTGAAGGTCACCAGTTTAAAACTACCAGCTGCTCCACAGGAGAAAGATAAGGCAGCCTGCTCCTGTAGAGATTTACAGCCTTGGAAACCTTATATAGGGTCGCTATGAGTCAGAACCAACTCCGCAGCACACCACCACCATATATACACACACATATTTATGTGTTTGTTTATATGTATGTATGTGAGACATCAAAAAATTATAATAACCATTTGTCATAAAAATGTTGAAGCCCTGTGCTGTGTATATATATATAT